GAGAGACTCTCTCCTCCATTTCATCAAAACATACTTAGGCTAACTTAAAATACTGCCATCCGATTATGTTACAGAGATAATCAATTAAAGGAGAGATTACTTGAGCCCACTGGTTATTTCTTACCAAACAATAAGCAGGTTATAGGCAAAGGGGCATCCAAATCAATTCAGTTTCCTCTATGTGTCGGTTTTCAAGATCATATTCTAACTATAGCTTGCCGTCCCACCTCAACTAAAAAGTTGTCTTATAACTTCATACAAAGTTATCTATACTCAAGTATCTTCTTAAAATATCTTCTTCAAGTATCTTCTTAAAAAGCTGAGTTCATTCTTGCTACTCTTTATCACAACAGAAGAAGATAAAAAATAGGTTCTGCATACATCTCACTATCTGTTGGACCCCAAACACCCCATTTTTGAACTAAATCATAACTTTCTGTATTTAGTTGGATGTTCGGGTGCTTCCCGTATCTGGGCCCTGATACATATTATATCTATTAATTGTACTATTTCTAATCTACCAGAGGCCATATTAGTCCGCTATTCCTCCATTCTTTGTTCTTCTGCAAGGTCATTCTGTTCTGAGTCTCTGGACTCCCTGTTTGGCCCGTTTAGCAAAAACCAGCCCTGTTTCTGGCTTGCAGAAAGCATTGCCTGTAATTTTTTAGTCAAGACCAGCAACTGTTCCTGTATAATTTTGGCTTTATCTGTTGACACTACCCTTCTTCCATCAATACTTCATTGTATCTTTGCTATGAAGATTTTTCGTTCTCCTTAAACTTTTAAAATAATTGTCAGGATTAAATGCGTTATTAGATACAATACCAAAGGGCAATAAAGGTGGGTTTTTTTAATGTTAACATGGAAAAGGATTTGAGAAGAACTTTAGATGAAGACCCCTGAATGTATTAATATACAAAAGGAATGAGATTAACTCCACATATATATTGACAGAATAATTGTAAGGTTATGCCCTGATTGTATTTGGCATCTTGGAGGATAAACATTTGTACATACTAATGTTAATATTTGGTGTAGTGGTTAGGAATGTGGACTCTAATCTGGGAGAACCAGGTTTGATTCCCCAGTCCTCCACATGAAGCTGCTGATGTGACTTTGAGTTAGTCATAAATTATTTCAGAGCTGTTCTCTCAAGGGCAGTTATCTCAGAGCTCTCTCAGCCCAACCTACTTCACAGGGTGTCTGTTGTGGGGAGGGGAAGGGAAAGGAGATTGTAAGCCACTTTGGGACTCCTTTGGGCAGTGAAGGGCGGGGAATAAGTCCTCCACATGAAGCTGCTGATGTGACTTTGAGTTAGTCATAAATTATTTCAGAGCTGTTCTCTCAAGGGCAGTCCTCAAAAGAGCTCTCTCAGCCCAACCTACTTCACAGGGTGTCTGTTGTGGGGAGGGGAAGGGAAAGGAGATTGTAAGCCACTTTGGGACTCCTTTGGGCAGTGAAGGGCGAGGTATAAAACCAATCTCTTCTCTCTCTCTCTCTCCTTGTTGGGAGATGTGGAGGAGTAAAAACAAATCTCTGCTACGATTTTGCTTTCCTGACTGAAAAGCCACAGAAGAGGAACGAAGGCCTACACGTAAAATTTCCTACCAGCTTTGCCCCCTTCCTGTCAGAGAAACAGCTATCAGCTTCCACAAACAGCACTTCATCCTGCCTGCCAGACTTGTACGAGAGTTTAAAGATTTAAAAATCACGTAATTTTGGCTTGCATCTCTCAATGCTGGCCCACAGCAAAACCCAAAATCAAAAATTTTGAAATATCTGCCTGATCTTTGCCTCTTCTAACACCAGTTTTAGGATCTTCACACACTGTAGCCATAGGCTGTACGTACACCACCAAGTGCAAGGATCTCTTCATGACAGCCAGCGTGAAATAGTGGTTAAAGTGTCCAACTAAGAGCTGGGAAACCCAGGTTCGAATCCCCACCCTGCCATGGCAGCTCACTAAATGACCTTCGGCCAGTCACTCTCTCAGCCTAACCAACCTCACAGGGTTGTTGTGAGGAAAAAACAAAAGGGAAAAGAATGATGTACACTGCTTTGGGTCCCCATTGGGGAGAAAGGTAGGATATAAATAAAGTAAGTAAATTAAAATGATCAGTCGGCCAAAAAGATCCTTGGCTCTAAATTGGGTGGACCCAGAACGTAGAATAAGGCCAGATTACACTGAGGTGTGGCCAATGCAAAAGTACCAACTTGTGAGACTTTGCACATTTAAAGTCAGGCCTACGTTTGGGCGGAGGAGAAATGATCAAAATGAAAAACGAAGTTGCCCGGGGAACTGCGATGGACCAAAGCCAAATCGCAAAATGAAAGTCATCTGGTGTCTTTTATTAAGACTGGATGAAGAACTCTGGAGAACTTTAGACACTGTTTTGTGTTATTTAGTTTGGTCAGAAGTAAAAGCCATTGTGGGGCTTTTGTTTTGGAGCACTTAATAAGGAAAACTTTTGTGCCACATGCCAAAGATTGGGTGGCAAACAGTAGAAATAGGTACCCTGAAATAAGGGATGTGGGCAATTTCTGACAGAAAGGTGTCCAAAATTCTACAGAGCAAGAGTCCAGGAGCACCTTAAAGACTAATGAAATTTGTGGCAGGGTATGAGCTTTCGTGAGTCACAGATACCCGAAGAAGTGAGCAGTGACTCACAAAAGCTCATTCGCTGCCACAAATTCAATTAGTCTTTAAGGTGCTCCTGGACTCTTGCTCTTTTCTATTGCTGCAGACAAACATGGCTACCCACCTTGATAAAAATTCTGAAATTCCTTTACTTGGTTAATCTGTCTGATCCGATCAATAATTCAGTTCGACTCAAAAGGCAGCCTTGGTCAACCACACATCCCAAAAACACCATCCTTTTTTTAATATAAAAACACACCACTTTCTTAGGCAACTAAGTAGCTGTGAACACCGCAGATGGCAGATGCCATTTTAGAAGAGGCATTCCCGCCCATATCTCATACACACCCAAAATGGGTTGACCCTGATTTTTTAAAAAAAGGTATGACAGGCATGAGGGCACCAGAGTCCGTCACAATTTTAAAAACAACTGATACACTAAAAAAAACCCCACCTACTTTCTGATGCAAGGGCTTGTAAGAACTGCAGAGGGGGAGTTGCCATCTTACAAAGAGCTTATCTCCCCTGCCATACAGGCACCTCAGGTTAACGCTTCTGATAAAATGGTGCCCGCAGCAGCAGCCTAACAAATCCTGCAACCCCCCCCCCCCCCCGTCATCCATTGACGGCACCCAGGATCAGCGACACAAAGTTCGAGTCCAGGGGCAACTTTTAAGACCAACAAAGTTTAATTCTGGGTATAAGCCTTCGTGTGCACGCACACTTCTTCAGACTTTTTTCCAAACTTTGCTCTGTTGCTCCAGACCGACCCGAATCGAGGATCAACTGCCCTTCCAGATCGAGATCAGATCGCCGCTCGGTGGCCAAAGGGCCGCGCTTCATCTCAACCCCACCCCACCCTACTTATTTTGCCCCCACTCTTTTCCTTCCTTTCCAAACTCCCCAGCCCGTGGCATCAATCCCTTTCGGCACATCCCCCACACACACACACACACCTTGTCCTTAGCCTGAAGGGAGCGCACGGTGCCAATATGACAGCTTTCCATGCCGTTCACGCCAACTTTTCCAAGTACTTTCGCTTTTGGCGGGGTGTGTGTGTGTTTGGGGGGAAAGGGCAGGGTAGAGAAGAAAGTAAATTAGTGGATTTCCTGGAAAGGGAGGGCGGCGGCGGGCGTTGGGGGCGAAATGGACTTCTTCGCGCCTTGGCAAACGCGACTCTCTTCCAGGTTGTCTCCAAAGCAGGCCACCTCCGCGACGCGCGCGTTCGAACTTACCCAAAGGGTGGGTCCTTCTTTCTTCTAATTCATTCAAAGAGAGAGAAAAGTTGCGATATCTTTAAAGAACAAAACAAAAAACCCCAGAGCGCTCAGGGGAAGCAGGGTTCGCGGCTTGCCTCCTTCGAACCAGGCGAGAAAAAAATCCTGCACATCCCACGTTTCGATATCCTGCGAACTTTCTAAGAGCGGCTTTGCATTTCCTGGTGCGCTGCAGGGCGCGCGTTTAAGAACCCTCCTCCGACCGCCCCCCAGTTTGACGGCGGTGGGAGGGCCCCGTCGTTTCCGCTCTCTGGCCTCTGCGGGGAGGAGTCGTCTCTGGGCTGAGACAAGTTTTCTGAGTATCTGAAGTTTTCGGAGGGAAACAAGTTTTCTGATTCTTTGAAGTCTTGGGAGGGAGACAGGTTTTCTGAGTATCTGAAATCTTGGGTTAGGAGAAGATTTCATCATTATCTGAGAGCGGGGAAGGAGCTTCTTATGGCTGTATCTAACTGTCCTGACTGTTCCCTGGCTGGAAGGCCAGATAATGAAACTGAAGCTCAAATACTCTGGCCACCCAATGAGAAGGGAGCACTCACTGGAGAAGACCCTGATGCTGGGAAAGATTGAAGGTCAAAGAAGACGGGGACTGCAAAGGATGAGATGGTTAGACAGTGTCATCGATGCAACGAACATGAAATTGAGCAAACTTCAGAGGACAGCAGAAGACAGGCGGGCCTGGCGAGATCTTGTCCATGGGGTCGCGAAGAGTCGGACTCGACTGTGCGACTGAACAACAACAAACTGTCCTGGGTGGGGAAGGCATGGAAATATGGAGGAGGAGATTGGAGAGGGGATACAACCCTGTTTGGTATATTGAACCGGTGTTCTAAGTAGTGTGAGCTAGCTCACAGTTTTTTAGCCTCCAGCTCACACATTTTTGCCTTAGCTCAGGAAGGCTGGCTCCAGAGCAAACTTAATTCATGCAGTAGCCAAATCACTCACTCACAGCTTTAATGCCAGGAGTTCACAAAGTAGAATTTTTGCTCACAAGACTCCACAGCTCAGAGGGAGCATTGTACTGAACACCTTAGCGCCTCCATTTTGTCTTGAGGTAATTCCATTTTGTTTACCTTCAGCCAATCCCCCACAGCCTTCAGCCACTAGTGAAGCATATTCACAACTTCTCTGGATCTTGATGGAAAGGGTAGAAGTGGCTGTTCTCTGAATACTAAAATACTAAAATAACTCACTTCCAATCACCAGATAATCTCTCCCAGTGTGGTCTCATGAAGCTATTAAACGCAATAAGGGACAAAATGAAACTTTGTGGAACCCCACAGGTCAAGCCAAGGCACCAAGCAGAAATGACTGTCTGAAATTTACCCTCTGGAAAGGAGGGGGGGGGGAAGTCACTATTCAGTTGGTGAGGATGATACTTGGCTCACTTTTCTTGACCAGGACAAGTTGTTTCTGCTGGGGAGTTGTTTCTGCTGGGGAGTTGTTTCTGCTGGGGCCGCCCTCATTGCTGCCACCATCTCTGTCCCCCTAGCCAAACTTCTGGGGCCACTCCTGCTACTTGTTTACTCTGGACCGGGGACTGCTCCTCTCTTGGCTGGATCTTCGGGGCTTTAGGGGCTGCTGTAGAGAGGGATACTGCTTCACAAGGGCCTGGTACAGTAAGGGAAGACATTTCTACAATTCTGGGAGAAACCTAAAATTTAAATTTTGAAAGGAGATCAGTTTTTTTAAAAAAGGTTGAAAACACTAAGATCTTGTGAGATTGTATGAATTATGTGCTGTCAAGTCACTTCCGGATTACAGCAACCCTGACAATTAATTACCTCCAAAATGTCCTATCATTAACAGCCTTGCTCAGGTCTTGCAAACTCAAGGCTGTGGCTTCCTTTATCGTGTCCGTCCATCTTATGTTGGGTCTTCCTCTTTTCCCACTGTCTTCAACTTTTCTTAGCATTATTGTCTTTTCCAGTGAGTCTTGTCTACTCATAATGCGACTACAATAGTACAGCAGCCTCCATTTATTAATTTCTTGTTTAGTCATTTACCTCATGAAATACCTTTTGAGATACTGGCAGCCATCTTGGAATGCCAAACATGGATACTGTTTTCCTTTTGAAACTTTAACTGAATTGAGGAGGAAAGGAGGAGTGAGCAGACAGGAAAGACTAAAAAGATGAGGAATTAAAACATGGAATCAAATGTGAGCTGGAAAGAAAGGAGGAGAGGGAGCAGCCGCTGGAGGGAAGGAAGGACTGGAAGGAAAGTGGCAGGTGAGGGGGAAATTAGAAAAGTAGTGGGGAGGAAACAAAGAAAGCAGAGAAAGAGGAAAAGCTGTAGGTGCTGCAAAGGGGGGGAAAACTGAGATGGCGTGAGGGGAAGGCTAGGGTTACCAGGTCTTACCTCCTTGCCAGAGGAGGGTGGGAGGGAGCTCTCCAGGAGAAGAAGAAGAGATTGGATTTATACCCCACCCTTCACTCAGAGTCTCAGAGCGGCTTACCATCTCCTTTCCCTTCCCCTCCCCACAACAGACACCCTGTGAGGTAGGTGAGGCTGAGAGAGCTGTTCCGAGAACTGCTCTCTGACAGAACTATGGCTTGCCCAAGGTTATCAAGCTGCTGCAAGTGGAGGAGTGGGGAAATCAAAACTGGTTCTCCCAGATTAGAGTCCGCACACTTAACCACTACACCAAACTGAGGGGGTGGGGCAACATCGCCACACGCAATGTCCCTGATGTGATGACATCACACAGAAGTGACATCACCATGCCAGGTATGTCATGCAGTGACACATTGGTATTTTGGATAAAACTCTTATGGTTACCACAGAGTTGTGCCCGAAATGCCATAGCATCACTGTGTAACACCCCCGGCGTGATGACGTCACTTTCACGTGACATCATGTTGGGGACGTCACACCGTGGCTGCTGGGGGCAGTGGCGGACAGAAGCCCACGAAAGCAGGTGATCCCGTGCCCCCACCTGGGAGCTGGCAACCGTGATGACGTCACTTTCACGTGACATCATCATGTTGGGGACGTCACACCATCGCTTCTGGGGGCAGTGGCGGGCAGAAGCCCATGAAAGCATGTGATCCCTTGCCCCCACCTGGGAGCTGGCAAGCCTAGGGAAGGCTCAGCCTGTGGAGAATGAGATTACCTCCCCTGTGTGACCCACACTTTTTGGTATTTGTCACCCATGAGGCCAGCTGTCCGACAGCAGATACCACTAACCACAAAAGGCAAGCACCCAATAAACATGAGGTAGGCCTTAAATGCTTCAAACATCCACATCTTCAGGTTGTACCGACTGGAAAAACCAAACTCCCAGAAGCCTAACGGATGCTCCAAGTACATTCAAAACATATTTAGATGATGTAGTATCCAAGTCGGATTAGATTCAAGCAATTTTATCTGCAAAGTCATTGGCACATTGATCACAGCCAATTTCTGAAACATTTGCTATTTATCCCTGGAGCCTGGACACGACAGGCCTCTCACCATTCAAAATGTAACTGGTCAATTCTGCATGGATGCAACAGTGGCGAAGTGAACTTCGCCATCAGCACAGCCTTAAAATGAACTCTACTGTTTGTCCGACTGGATTTGGTTCAAAGTTCATTGCTCTCCCTATCAACCCGGCTGTTTCAGAGGACCCAGTTTCATAAGGCCTACTAAATCTGTGGGAAATAGTCATGCCACCCGGCGATTACTCTCACCATTCAAAATGTAACTGGTCAATACTGCATGGATGCAACAGTGGCAAAGTGAACTTCGCCATCACCACGGCCTTAAAATGAACTCTACTGTTTGTTCGACTGGATTTGGTTCAAAGTTCGTTGCTCTCCCTATTAACCCAGCTGCTTCAGAGGACCCAGTTCCACTGAGAATGACACTTGCAGACCCTGAACATGTGGGAGAAGGACCTTAGGAACAATCCTGTCCACTCCTTGGCAGGCTTCCTGATTCATAAGGCCTACTAAATCTGTGGAAAATAGTCATGCCACCTGGCAATTAACCCCCCAAACAGTGCACTCCTAAACTCAGAGGTAGGGTTGCCAGCTCCGGGTTGGGAAACCACGTCCCCCTTTCAGTTATTTATATATTTTTCTTTAGCAAATTTATATGCCACTTTTCTCCCGGAACACAGGGCTAAAGGCGGGTTACAAACATCAAAGGTGTATAAATCTAAAAAGATTATAGTGACTTAAAATTCTAATATATCAAAACATACCTTACTCACACCCCCATTACCACCAAAATAAAATGGGAGAACAGTACACTAACAACAACAAAAACACCCACAGAGACAAAAAAAATCAGCTAAGAGACACAAAAGTTAAAAAAATGGAAACACAATTTTAAAAAAATGTTAACAATCTGAAGGTCAAGGCAAGAGGCAGCCTCTCCTTCCGAGTCCCAGTTCTTGATATCATTTCTAGGCAGCGGTGGACTTGTAGTTCCACAGGAGAAAGGAGGAGCTGGTGATTTTCCGGTCAAAGATGGTAAAAGAAATGTCTCCCTGCCCAGTCTTTATATCCTACCTTGTATTAAAAATGCTAACAAAGCAGGAAGCCTAGTTTTGAGTACAGAAACCAAGTGGAGGCTGAACTCCCCCCTCCCTTCCCTGCATGACCCCAAGACAAATTGAGGCTGCAGATTTATATGCGTCAATCCTATACTTATCAATTTCCAATCCAATTATTCAAAGCACAGAACACAAAACGAAAAACTTCTGATTGATCAGATTGAAAGAGGAAGAAAATCTTACCGATGAGCGATACCAAAACATCATTACCTTCTGTCACCCGCTCAAAATAAAATTGCCTCAGATTTGTACACTGCAGTCCCTTGCAATCTATTTAATAACATAAATTAGATGGATCCTAATACCTTGCAAGTAGATAAATAGGTACCACTTCAGTGGGAAGGTAACAGCGTTCCGTGCGCCTCGGCGTCTAGTCATGCCGGCCACATGACCACGGAAACGTCTTCGGACAGCGCTGGCTGTTCGGCTTTGAAACGGAGATGAGCACCGCAACCCTAGAGTCGGATTCGACTAGCTTTCGAGCAAGGGAAACCTTTACCTTTAATACCACTGGTGGATCCCTCCACCCACTGGAAAACCACTGCGGGCCAGGGGCAAGTACATTTTTATGTTTTTCAGTAAAATTGATCTTTGAAAACAATA